TATATATATATATATATATATATATATATATATATATATAGACATTGATCAAACGCGTGCAACATCCTGACTTCAATCACATTTGTTTTTCCCAAACCTTCGTGTTTCGCACATCATTCGCAGGATTGAAAATGATATTGCTCCTCATCCGACACAAAACACCTGTATCAGATTAGCTAGATCAGTTTTCTCTACCTGCTGTGATTTGAATTTGTTGGTAAAACCAATACGCGCCCTCTTTTGTTTAGCTTTCAATAACGGCTTAATATAAGGTAAACTCAGCTGCAGGTCAGATTGAGCCACCATTTTCCAAGCAATGGCGTGAGAACATTTTTGGTTAATCCGCCCCGGCTACCCTCCATGTTAGCTATGTGCAACTCTTCTCAGCTGCGATCGAATTCAACTATCGCCTTGCTTCGATATGATCGGTTTCCTCCCTTATGGTTTATGTCTAGACGGAGAAATTACGTTTGTTATGCAATAAATTTGGCTTATGTCCGCACCGAAGCACTTACAAAAATCAGAAAATGAGCTGTCGGAGTTATGCACCTCTCGAATAGGTTGCCTCTCGGTCTTACCTACCTGCCCAAAACTCTTGGATGTTAACTTGGGTCGGGGAATTCTGGCACTATAAAACGCATATTCAACGAACCGCACACCTACAGGTCCATTTTGTTTCTTAGAATATATTTTTACATCTTTCAGGATTAGTGATGTTACGTGAGTATGTCGTAGCAACAAAAGTTGTCAATTTACCTAAGCTAGAAGATTCTATTTATTTTAACTTTACGCTGTAACTTCCAAACTACTACAAAATTTATCTCGACATTGAAGGTCGCGAGAATTCAAACTGTGATACAAAGGAACATTGAAATGGGATATAAAGTTCGTTAAAAATTCTCCTCATCCATAGCTATCGATATACACGTATGATACTGGAAAATGAAACGTATTTCAACTATGGGAGTCATATCGCACGATTGCGATATATATATATATAAATATGCATATATATATAAACTGTGACATTGGCAATCAAACCACGCAGACATCATTCTCAGAAAATGGCAACGGTAAACAAGAGGAGATGAATGAGGTGCGAGAGAGTTTTGGTTAGGATTATAGTTCCATCTAATGAAGAATTTCGCGCTAGAAGTTTGCGTGGAATTTATACTTGAACAAGGAAACCAAGAAAAGTTCCTCGATTTTTACCTGAAACAATCACGTGGGCAGCAATTAGTACTGTTTGTTTGTGTCAACTAAATTTCTACCAAAATCTTGGTTCGTAACTTAATTCAAAACGAGAATTATTAAACTGGGAAATGAGTACTGGCAGCTTGTTTTCGAATTCTAGCCTCCGCATCTCCTTTTCTTCAGAACTTTCCTGCCAAGGGCAAATCCCCGGAGGGAACAAATTAATTTGGTCTTCTCGACGATGCTCGCGCTAGGGAGCGAACACGGTCTACATTGTTCCCGGATGATGGATGCCTGTCCTTTTCCACCCCCACCCCCCACCCCCGAGTGCGCTGTCAGATGTGCAGCTCTGAGACGAGCCATATATTGGGTTTAGTTTGAATCTGAGCTGGTCCAAAACCCATCCAGATAACATTCACTCATGCCTGACTGGTACAATGATCATTCCTCATTTCGTTTCTACACTGTAATAGCAGTACCCGTGCAGGACACGTACTATGTATGCATCCCTAGAGGTGCTTCGAGTGATTACTGCATCCGGGTTGACACCATCAAAAGACTGAATTCCAACACCCGGTACCAAGAGTAAAAATGTCATGATTAAGATGAAAAAGGTATTATTTTCTAATTCTTCCAAATAATTTCAATGAATAATAAAACAAATCAGGAATCGAATCAATGGATGGAATTCATTATGACGATCAACAATGATTTCCGATTCAGAGTAGCAAAACCGTAAAATATAGGACGATATCACTTTCATTTGTTCATTCACGACTAGAACCGCGATGCATAGTTCCGCAATGTGAGCAGTTCTTCCGCTTCGTCAAATTGCACATCACTATCCACATCCTCATCTATGCACGTACCTAAAAGTGTATTTCCACGCGTGGCTTGTGTGCGTCGCATAATTGCAGCCGCAGTCCCCGTGCGTCGTTTGCCCACAGAAGTCCCACTAGCCAAGCGACCGGCAGGATTAGCTTGTTTCGTTCTCCCATGTGCAGCTGGGCCGAGCGTATACGTACCAGGGATATTGACGATTGTGTCCGTTTTCCCGGACTGAGCACCACTTGTGGAGCCATTAGAAATGGCAGTATTTGGTGTGGAATGTGTCGTGGATGAAACTCGGGTTGGAGTGACAGATGTACCGGCCGGTGGACTTGATACCGGACTGTAGCTCAACTGAGCACGCCACCAGTTCTTGACCTCTTCACATGACTCTTGGATCAATTGAGTATCTGCTTGAGTCATTGGATTTGATTTTTCATGTGTTGTTTCTTGAACGACAACGATCGGTTTTGTTATTGGTTCCTCAGATGAAACTGGCGGGGAGTTTTTCCCTTTTTTCTGTCTCCTAGTGCTTGAGGTCTGAGCACGTTTTACCGCATTGTCTACAGTTACAGACGGATTTTTCGACAATTTTGATGAAGTCACTTTGCTAACATTTTGACTTTCTTCAGCCTCGTCTATCACATGCATCTGAGCTGTGGTTGAGCATTTGTAAATTATCTGCAAATCTCCATGTTCATTCAAATCCTCTGCCACGTCGGGGAGAGCAGAACTACGTGCAAAACTGCGGCGATTTTTAAGTGTGCCCGGTTTTCCGCCGTACTTGTTCAACGATGGCTTCCCGGTTTCTATGGTAACGATCTCATCGTTGCCTTCATTCGTATCTGCGCTCTGATCCACATTGGTTGCACATGTGTCCACAAAAGGTGGATGCAGGGAATTTTCCAACGACTTCCCCAAACCAGCTGTCGAACTACCTCGAATAGCATGTGTGTTGGTGCCCAATGCATTCGGTAGCAACGAGTTGCCACCGAGTTTTGTGGTCGAGTTGTCTGTGATTTCCTTAGACCTCAGAGAGATCTTGTGGTCTTTGGCATCTGCAGTATCATCCAACTCATTTTCCTCATCTGTTTCAAGCAGCGCGGTGGATTCGACTTTGTCAATGCTTAAACCTTTGCGTGAACGATGAGATGAATGGCTTCTACCACTCGTTGATAAAGAGGATGGTGAATTGTCTATGTTCGATGGCACTGCACCCGGTTGTGTAGTGGGTGTGCCACCGGTATTAACCGGAAGCAGGGGAGCACAAATCATATTGGCGCGTTCTTTACTTGCAGCCGTTGGTTGCTCCATGCCCCGATGAGTTTCTTTGTGTAAACTCAGACAAGCCGGTCGTTTCTTTGTTCCAGTAGGATTAACAGTGGCCGGACTGGCCGGAGACTGGGGACAATCTAACAGGGATTTCTTCCCACCTTCGGTTTCATCCACGCTTAAACTGAGTTGACGATCCACAGTTGTGTGCATGGTGAACTTCAGTTGGCCATGTTTCTGAAAGCAAAGCAAAAACTGATTAAACGCAGTTAGGGGAATAAAAACTAACTAAATTTCAAATTTGAAACGATTATCTTTTCTTTTGTCTTCAGAACAAAACGTTCGCCCACAAACCTATTCAATTGACTGCAGAAGAACACCTTTTCCTGCGTACGAAAAATGGAATAATGTGAACCAACAGAATCCCGATCCGTTTTCTGATGATCTATTTATTTTGTGATTAATTCAGAGAAATAAGAACCCCGGAGGGAAAACTACTGATTGATCGGTGGAGCATCTTGCATTTAGTTCATTCAAGCTGTTTGCAATCAACAGCTTTTCAAGTTTTACGCTTTACCTGCAGTACACCTTATCAGTGAGAAATTGATCGCGTTTACTCCGTCAGGGTGGGGGGCACTCAATATATGAAACTAAGTCACCCGATAAGTCTTAAAGCAAACGTTAACTTCTGCATCAAGTCACGCAAGACAGGAGCAAGAAACACATGAATTGCAAGTTCGACTAGTAGTCCAAGTAGTAAATGATGGAATACAGGATATTATACGATTATCCTGTGACAACTGATGAGTGTCTGATAGTAAATAGTTGGCTTAAAACGTCAGCTCTCGTATCTGCTTTCAAACAGAACTGCTTAAAGATTCTCCCCGTTTTCTTCGATTGGAGTTATCCACCATTTCTGTTTCGAATGATACTTGACCACGGCCCAAGCAAATTAGTAGATTTTGTCACGGGATTGAACACCAAAAACGCCCAACTATTCTGACACCAAGTCACAAATGTATTTGAATAACCGGTTAAAAGTCTAGTGGGGTACCACAAAGTAAACAATAAAACTTCCTCTACTATTTCAATATTTTTATGTTCCATACTATTCAAGACAGGTTTAATGAAAGACATCGAATCTACAACGCTCGAAGCTTGGCTATGGGAGATAGAAAAGGGTGCATTCGCTGACTCCTGTTTGATGCCATATACCGCAGTGTCTTCACCTAAAGACAATCTGAATCTTGAGTGACCCAGTCGGGGTGCCGGAATACCTTGACGGAATACAGATCTGAGAAAAATCTCTTTAACCCTCAACGCCAGGTCCTAACCTAAATAACTTGCTGTTTTCCCCAGCCCGGAACAGCGTCTGCAAATAGTGCATGGTCTGAAAGACATTGCACTGGCATTCATAGGACGTCACCCAGCCACCTAAGATGCAGTAAAATCGTTTTGCTCAATGGAAGCCTATTTGATCTTAGCACATATCATCTGACCTCATCGTTATTCACGCAAAGCTCCAAAAGTACGCATGCAATGTTGGAAATGTTGAAGACGGACATTCGTTAGACACGATCTGCTTAGAGAGACTCGGTTTCGCAGCCACAGAGCGACACTGCGTGTACAGTTGCACAATACACATATCCTTTAACTGGAAGGGATCTGTATCACCGGCACCAGAGAGACCACAGGCTATCAAACGCTAATCTAGCTTTTACTACGCGTTGAGAGTTCTCCCCACACTTTACCAGCCGTTATACGACTCCAGAGATAGACAAAGCTTTCGACTACTTTTAGAGGGTGGTTGTCCAACCAAAGTACAGAAAAGGGTTTCTACCAATCTTGCAACAACATCTTGCACTTTGAATGTGCAAAGGGCATAGAATAACGAGTAATCTCAATGATCAAACGATTCAATGAATCTTGAGTCATCGGTGGGTCTTCACTGATTAAGGCAATATCATAGGCATACTCTAAGTTTACGACTGTCTCTATGGAGAAGCACGACGCCAGCGTTCGTTACATAAAGCAGCGCGTTTTCATAGAACATCGTCTAAAGTAAAGTTGAAGAACAACCATGTCGTACCTAAATGATGACAGGAAATGAGGGTGAAAGTTCACCATAGGCCCCAACCTTCCCCGAGGTCTGACGGTAGAGTGCTCTTAGAAGCAGAACATGCTTCACGAGTACTATGTATCTCCCGAAACGATTCCACAGGATAGGCGATCGATGGAGTCAAAGGTCGCTCTGCTATTTAAAACCACGATAATAATTTGTTGTCTGTATGTGTGGCGCTGTGAAGATTTGAGCAATTCAATCACGGCGTGCACGAAACTCAACCTACTCTTCGTGGATTTACCCTTCTCGATATAGGCTAAATTGCGTAATAAAACGGACACTAGCAGCTTCAGCACTATTAAAATCAGACTTTTATCCCTGTGGATGCAACAGGCAATGCCACAGCCCCTCTC